CTCACCAAGGCTTTTGATACTGTGAGCAGAAAAGGTCTGTGGCAGATTTTGGAACGTTTAGGTTGTCCCCCCAAGTTCCTTAAAATGATCATCTCACTTCATGAGGATCAGCACGGCCAAGTCAGATACGGCAACACACTTTCTGAGCCCTTTTTAATCAAGAATGGTTGACAATTGCACGTCAAAATTAAATACATTAAGCGTTTGTGTTTTTTCTATCAATGATTGCAATCATTTAAATGATTTGCATATTCTAGAATTAAGTCAGTCCTTTCAATTTCTTTTGGTGCTCAAATGTGTGTTGTGAAAGTGGGAGGCACTAGCTTTAGACCAATTTGCAATGAGAAGAAATCTTGAACAGTAATAAGAGTTTATCCATCAATGTAAAAATATTCTTGTAGAAATTGTCAGGTTGTACACAGTAGTTTTATTATTTAAGTAGTAGACACATTAGGAAATCATAATACATATTCATACAAGTTAGGGAAACCTTAGATCAGACTTCCAACATAAACATGTATTACAACAGTACCTAAATGTCCTCATTCAGGATTATGATTCTATTATGTGATCTGCTGTACAAATGCACAGATACCAAGGTCAAAATCTATAACCTAATTATATGTATATAAGGATTTCCTTATTTTATGGTAGTTCATCATTAGGAAGTCCAAAAGTAATTTTATTTCAATTATAAATTTTTAGCAAAAAATAAAATATGAAATCCCATCGCTTTAAGATAATGTTAATTAACCACACTAGTTTAAGCTGGTATAAAATATAAATAAATTTTTTAAAATTAGACTCTTGGCTTCTTAATCTGTCATTTTTTCTCTGTCATACCTCTGTTAAATAACAACTCTACCTCAAGCTGGAATGACTGGTGAAATGACTGGTGGTGCCTGGAACTCAGTACAGGCTCCCACCACAAAACAAAACTGGAAAGCAAACAAACCCAGTAGTTTTGCTATAGTTTTTCTAACTCTGAAAAAAAAAAAAAAGAAAAAAAATCAAACCAAAACAAAAACCTCTCTCTTTTATATTCTTTTGTATCAGAATAAAATTGTTTGGAATGATGTAAACAAATAAATAATTTCACAGACATACTACAAATTTGAATAATTTTACAAGAAACAAATACGGTATTATCTTTTAATTTGATTTATGAAGTGGGCATTTTATACATCATATTTAAATATAAGATATGCACTATGTTTGCTAAAACCATGGACAGTTAAATAGAAGTCTTAATGTTAAGTGGTGATGGGAATTGATTTTACCTTACGGAGATAAAACAAAGTAAAAGGAAAAAATTGTGTTCTATTAAGGTCAGGGAATTCACATATAAATCAGCCCAGAGGCAGCCAAGGAGTTTATATACATTTTAATGCATACATAAGGAAGTTTTACACTATAGTATAACAACATACCTTTTTAAAGAATGTCACTGCTGGTGTTCAGAAATAGTACAAGATTTTCACCCTAACTTTAGGCAATGCTAAGTGATGCATGGCTACTTTAAAAAAACAAAATACAGAGATGAGGCAAACCATGGGGAAACAGGAAAACAAAATAACAGTCAGAAATTAATTATAAAAGATAGGTAGGCAAAAATCTGAGGAATGGCTTTGAAGAAATTAATGAGAGAAAGATAAAGCCTTTGGAAAGGCTGCAGGCAGAAAATTGGTGAAGATATTCCTTTGCTATGCCTAGAACACACTTGTATTAGTCAGTATGTACTTGCCAGTCCGCATTCCCTTGTCAGGATGTCGAAGACTGCAATGAGATCTCCCCTCAGTTTCCTCTTCTGTGTCCTTAACAAACCATGTGACATTGGTCACTTGGAGTTTGGTACTTATCACTCCCACTAACCAATGTACTGGTTACTCATAACGTCTGAAAATTAGATTTATGAACAAATTAATGTCCTATTTTAAAAAAAAAAAAGTAATCAGTCCATAAATGTGGGGTTTTTTTAAGAACAATTTCAGTAGTTCATATGAGGCTATTCAAACACCAACTGAGAATATATCTTGATGACATCAATCATAGACAATGTTAGTAGTACAAAGATTAAATAACAGCTCTTCATTGTGATCAAGACAAATAAATCCTATAAGTTTTGTGTCCTGAAAGTTGTTTCAAATAAGGTTGTGAAAGTGACACATAGAATTTTCAGCTGGTCAAAATTAACACCAAAATCTTTGAAGAGTCATGGCAGTTCAGCTTCTA